GAGGGTTGGATAATATTTATTTAATTATAAGCCCAGCCTAGTAGCCTAGCCCGAAGAATTGTTCGTACTACTTTTTGTAATTGGCGGGCTTAGCAATAATTTAGGCAGGCCTAACAAGGTCTGGGCTTGACCAATGACCACATCATTATTTCAACGACCCTTATAATGATCAAACTAACCGAGGCTACATTCGATATAAGAGAAGGTTTGAGAATCTCCAAGGAAAACTTTTGCAATACAAGCTCCCCGGATTGAAAAACCAACCCCAAAGCTCTAGGTTTTTTAGGATAGTAGCCTTTTTCTTGAATTCGGCTGAGTAAACCTCGCATCACTGGACATATGTTCGCGGACTTTCTAAACCTATATCGCTTAGACACTGTCGCGACCGACCTCCGGGTTTCAAAGGTCTCGCCTGATACGTGCTAAATCTAGATCTGAGACTTAACTCGGGCTCTCCCCAGTCCATATCATATCTCGACTTGTGGTTTAGGTGTTTAACATGCAAGTGATTTTTATTGAAAAGTCGCCACTAATCGATTTAGGTGGGTCGATTAAAAACCTAAGTAAGGTAACGGGAGAATCACTCTACTCATACGAACCAGAGATTAAATGAGTTTGAGAACTTGGTTACACTAGTTGAGTGACTAGTGCCCTTTCGGTACATTTTATCTAGTTTATTTTAGAAAATATTTAATCATGCAATTTGGATTGATTTTAGGACATATCTCTTAACATATGAGGTGATCAAGTGAGTGCACAATTATTAACGATTAACAATCAAGATAGATATGCAATCTAAGGTTCTAATCCTAACTTAGGCGATAATATTTAAAACATGACAATTTATGTAATTATATTCTAACTAGAAACAACATGCATAATAATAATACAATAGTAGTAAAAATAACATAAAAAATCCTATTGTATAGCCCTATAGGCTTATTTGATCTAAACATGATTATTAATTAAATAATTCACATAATAAAAAAAATATTTAAAAATACTAATTTCTAAACTATTTCTTAATTTTAAAATAAAGTAAAAAATATATTTTTTAAAATTTTTATTTTTGTTTTTAAAAAATATATTTTTTAAATTAAAAAATATAATATTCGGTCTGGTCGGATCGGCGGACCCGGGTCAACGGATCCGACCCAAAGTCGTTGACCCGGGTTCTAAACCAGATCGGGCTCGATCTGATTGAAAAAGACAAAATAGGACCGGTTCGACCCAATCCGGGAAAATCGGCTGGAGCCGACTCCCACGTTCCCACGTGCAGAGGCAAACGAGCGCGCCGACCGAGTGAAATCTGGCGATTTCACCCGGCCGTTGGCCTCGACTGCCTCAACACCTGGGACTGAGGTGGCCCCCCCTTTTTGGCCGACCAAGGTGACCGGCCATGGCGGCCGAGCTTCGACCAGAGCTCTTCAAGCCCAAACGCTGGTCGGAGCTTGGCCGGCGTACCCAAGCCAATCCTTGGTCGCCTTTGGCCTCCCACAATCACCCTAAGACTATCCACAAGAACCCCAGCTCACCAGACGCCTACTTGCTCGCCGACGACAACCAAAACCGAACTGGCCTCATTGAGGCATTTCCTCAAACACCTGACATGCATAGACAAAACAGGGGGTTTTTTACCTACTTCGGGATTCTGGCGTATTCTGGTGACCTGTGCTCACCTTCGGCGACGACGTACGGCCTGTGGAGAGTAAATGTACGGACCGGGATTCGCGCAAAACGACCGGCGCTAGTCCCGGCCAACGGGTGAACCAGAACAGGGGAAAACAGGGGTGTACGGGATTGGGAAAGCTCACCGGTCAGGACTCCTTCCGGGGGATCGCTGGCGGTGTACGCTGGTCTGGCTTCTGCTTCAACCCCTGCAAATGCTCAACTCACTCTTTTCTCTTAGTTTCTCTCAAATTCACTGAAAAACTCTCTCTCTCTCTCTCTCTCTCTCTCTCTCTCTCTCTCTCTCTCTCTCTCTCTCTCTCTCTCTGCTCTGTTTCTGATCGACCCCTTCTTCTCTCTCTTCTCCAGCTTATATGGTGGTCGACGGTCACTGCTCCTGCTCCATTGAATGCTCTGCGCCGGCCTTTGCTACTACCAAAACTTTCGTGGCCAGCTTTGCGCGGTGGAGCAGATAATCCGCGATGTCCCAGGCGATGGTCGTTGCAGGGGAAGACAGAGGAAGGAGGAGAGAGAGAGAGAGGCCGGCCGTGGAGGAAAGGGAGGAGCGGGCTAGGCTAGGCCCAGCTCGCGCGTGGAAAAAAAAAGAAAAGAAAAGGAGCGGGCTGGGCCCGCGGGGGGAGGGGGTAAAGGAAAGGGCCGGGTTGACTCAGCCCAATCCAATTTTTTTTAAAATAATTTTTTTAAAAATTAATTAACAAAATATGCTCTAATAAGCCCTATTAATGCAAATGTGCCTAATGTCTATATGCCATGTAATTAGAACTAAAATTTTTTAGTTTTAGTAATTAAGGACATTAATCCCTAAATTTTTGCATAATTAATTTTGGGCAATTAAAAATAGGTGTCAATGGACACGTTTTAATGTCAACTATTTTTCAATATGCAGAAACCCCCAAATTGGCACCACAGTCCTCAAAAGTGTGCATTTCGTCTGCTTGCACATATTAATTTACTAGTTTACGAACAAAACGATCGGGATTAAAATGGTTGAAGATTGTATTAATTGGAAAGCAGTCCTTTTCGAAAAATGGACACGTCGAAACTTTAATTTAGCTTGCACGCTTCAAAATATAGCAAAACCCCATACCCGCCCAATTGCGTGGTTTGGCTTGTAGTTGAGTTTTCTTCTGAAAGTTAGCTTGGTTTCATTTGAGAATCTGCCAAAATTCACGTTTCGTCTTTCTTTAGCATTGGAAGCTTGTGAGGTACCAAAATCAAATTGTCAACAACCTTCATTCAACAGTATTCAGAGCCCGCGCACATGAGCGAGACAGAGAGATTGCGACGTGCCCTGGATACAGGTCCCGAGTTCCGACCTGAATAAGTTATGTAGATTCATCAGGTCGGGACCTCCAAACTTCGAATTGCTAGCACTCATTCTTCTGTAAGATGCAACGATATTTAGGCAATTCCATGACTCTTAAAAGTTGCTCTTTCGCGTTTAAGTCTATTCGAGAGTTATCATTCACGTCTTGTGTTGTGACTTATGACCATTCGAGTTTCTAGCCGGTAGGGGATGGATTTCACGTTTTCTTGTACTTAAATTATCTGAGTTCAAAATGGGTTGGACTGTAACCGGATCCGATGGTGATGATTGGTCCAATTCGAATCCGTCACGTTGTCATCTCTATTTCAGATGATCAAGCATGGCAGATGATAAGTCCTAAGGCCCGTGATGACATTGAATTTTCACTATGAGACATCGTTACTGAGAATGGACTGAGTGTGACGTGGGCACAACAAGACATGCCATTGTTCAACAACCACTATGTCGGCTCAAGCTGGATGTTTTCTCAATGAGAACAAACAAGTTATTATCTAGGATTTTCAATGGAACAGATGGACTTATTAGCAAAACTAATTGCCAAATTGTGATTCGGCTCTTTGTTGAAAGTCAGAAAATAGGAACTGTTGTCCCTTTTCTACTGTTTTTCTCCTTTTCACATGCACGGTTAGAAATTCTGAATGAACACTTTTTACTTGTGTTCTTGTCCTAGCCTTTTTTCTTTTCCAGCTCAAGATGGACACATGATCGTCCTGGGAATCTTTAAGAATTACTTCCATATAAACTCTGTGAAAAATCGAAGTTGCCCATAACTCTTTTCATGGTGTGTCTCGCTATAATACTAGCACGAACTGCCAAACAAACCTGAGATTGAGCGATGTCACCTCTTAGAATATGAATCAACCAAATCCTCGTTCATTAATTGCTTGAAGCATGTCACATGCTTCAATCAAATCTTTAACAAACTCCATGAAGTCTTCTCGTGGTGTCTCACTGTAATACCAGCACGAACTGCCGAACAGACCCGAGATTGAAGGATGTCACCTTCTTAAAATACGAATCAACCAAATCCTATTCATTAATTGCTTGAAGCATGTCGTATCACAAAAGCATGACATGCTTCAATCAAATCTTTAACAAACTCTATAAAAGATCCATGTTGCCCATAAGTCTTCTCCAGGTGTGTCTTACGATAATACCAGTACGAACTGCCAAACAGACCTAGGATTGAAGGATGTCACCTTCTTAGAATATGAATCAACCAAATCCTATTTCATTAATTGCTTGAAGCATGTCATGCTTTTGTGATATTACATGCTTCAATCAAATCTTTAGCAAACTCTGTAAAAGATTCATGTTGCCCATAAGTCTTCTCCAGGTGTGTCTCACTATAAAATCAGCACGAACTGCCAATCAGACCCGGTGTTGAGGGATGTCACCTTCTTAGAATATGAATCAACCAAATCCTAGTTCATTATTTGCTTGAAGCATGTCATGCTTTGGTGATATTAAAGTTATCTTAGGTCGCATTTTGTAGGTTGGACTTGGACCGAAATAGAGTATTATCGGAATTGTAGTGGACATGAATAAGGATCAAGATCAGTATTTTCATTCGTATGCTGTTCATGTGATTGAACTCCAGGGAAGGTTCATTATGGCAAAATTTCCCTACTTCTTCCTCTATAATTCCGGTTTTGGATTTCTTTGTCATGAAAGTCATATCTAAAGAATCGTCTCGTAAGCTAACATTCTAATCAAATCTGAAAACTTTTGTTAAATTTGACTTGGTCAGTATTTACAATCATGTGATTCTGTAATAATTCCAGAAAAAACAATAATCTCTGAGTTTGTATCGCGAGCAATCAGAGAGAGAGACAAAGATCTAGGGGAACCATAGATAGTGTCTGCCCCAACACTCATGCCATTCTCAGCTGACTGATTGATACAATTGCAGTTTTAAGAGCAGACTAAGCTAGTGACAATGAGTAAGCACAGTTTTTGGGCAACATTTTGAGCAGTTCTAACATCGTCAAACTAACTCGCACCAATCAATTTGTGTAATTCACTGGAATACTTTTGTTACTTGAATTATTAAGTGTTCTTCAATCCTAAACTTCATGTACTAAAAGCATGAAGCATTCAGAGAAGCTGCAAGATCAGATTGAGATTTTCGGCCACAAGAACGCAGAAAAATCAGAGAGTTACTAATGGTCCTGGAAGTTTAATTAACTTGCCGATGCTTTCAAATTCCTCCACAAAGCTGCAATTATCACCCTAGAAGACCCTATCAACCAGGATGGGTCCACGCGGCCAATCCTTTGGACTCTGCAGAATTCAGCGGGTTGAGGAAGTGAAGTGTTTGATGAGAGCCATCCCGACAGGGGTCTCGACCAGTGTCTCCTACATACCCATAGTCCAACAGCAAACTCTTGTGGTCTTCCAACCTCTTCAATCCGATTGGCGCATTGTTAACACTTAGCTCAAGATTCCTCCCGCGAGATACTTTGTTTTCACTATGCTTGGCCTTGGGTTCCAATCTATGATCGAATTGTCGTCAAAAGGCTAAGGAAAGTCACTGGAAAAGAATACAGTAGCATGATACTCGCAAAGCTGGGGATTGGGATGTTGCTAGCCACAATCACCACGATCAGCAACATCCCGATCAGATCGGTAATTGTGGAAGACAGAAGGAGAAACTTGGGACTGACTGACCCAATCAGAGTCAGCCTGAGAAGAGATGCAGTCTCTCCTATGTCAGGGTTATGTCTGGTGCCTCAGCTAGTATTATGACAGAGTATCTGAAGCAATTGCACTCATTGCTCTAGTTGAATTTTTCTAAAAGCAGTTCCCAGAGAATATGAGAAGCTGGCGGGGTCGAATTACCTGAGCAGTCTGCCAATATCGATCGTTCACCAGGATGAATGGAGACTGGTTGGCTCCAGATCTTAACTAGGGAAAGTTGGATGTCTTTTATTGTCTGATTGCTCTATTGGCGGCATTGAACTTGGTTTAATTTGTTCTGTGTGCTCGGTGGTTCAGGGACAAAGGAAGCAGCAACAGCAGCAAGTACTGAAGTTGAATCTCAGCAAGTGAAACCAGAAACGGTTCTTGTTTGATGGAGTTAATAAACTGAAACCGAGAAGGTTGTGGAATAGAGTTCATTGAGCAACAAAAAAAGCACAATTCCTGAGCCCCGTTTCGTCCCTGGACTTTACTGAATTTTTATTGATTGACTTTCATGATCAATCCGACTTGACAAAAACATGCCATTTTCACACTGACTTGTTGGCTTATTATGGAGTGAGCAATAAAACCAAGATGTTGCTTTCTCTGATTTTTTTTTGAGCAATTAGAAGAAAAACACCTTTGCAAATGCAAGTAGGATTTCGTTGATGTTCTTTTTGTCGGAACTTGTCATTTGCCCTTTTCTGTGTGGTTGTATTCCAACGACCTGCGCTGCTGATACCGTCCAGGCCTTTTCTTTGCCAACTTAACTCAACTCCGAGATGTCTTCCTATCCTGAACATGTTCGACAGCCATACAAGTGGTTGCTCACAAATTTTCAGAAAATGCGCTCATGAATTCACCGTGAGAATTCATTAGCTGTACCTAAGAATTGCATTTTCAGCATATTTGGAAGGATAGATTCTCCAGGACAAATATGCTTGACGTTACAAAACTGAGATAATAAGCTAGAAAGCAGAATGAACCGCTGCTCAATATGGTCCAGTGGCTTCACATGTTACATCTCTGCATCGAACTAATCCCTGTTCATTTGGTTCAGCATGTCATGTTCTAAAGAAACTCAAGGACATTACATCGCATTCCAGAGAATTACCAAATTAGAATAGCTTGAAAAATGAATCAGTTTTACGTAAGAACCGGACGAGTATTCCCATTGTCAGGCTCGTCATGTGATTGGTCCCCAGTACAAGTTCTATACGACTAGAATTTCCCTCCTTTTCCTATTGTTCAGTTCTTGGATTTCCTTATCCGGACAATTATTTTCGAGGAATCATTATGTTAAGCATAACTATGAGATAGCAGGGAAAGCTGACCCTCTACTCTAGTACGGAACAAATTTAACCGACGAGGGATGAGACAAAGGATGATGAGTCGACAAATCTTAGCTGTATCTACGACCTTCATTGAGGCAAGTAGACTCGGTCAATATAGACAGCCAAATGATTTCGAAGTATAAAGGTCATGAAAATAAAACTGTCCAATCAGGAAGGAGAGATCGAATTCCTGGGAACTTAAGAAAACTGTCCAAAAAAAAATACATGATATTTGAATCAAGTATAAATTACTTAGCTTTGTGTTTTATTATCCACCAGAGTTGGAGGACAGGAGGAGCACCTCTATGGACAAAGCCATGGAGAAGAAGGAGGATGGTGTTTCGACCAAGGAGATTCGTTATGGCGGCATAAAAGCCATGCCCTTTGTGATAGGTAAGAGAGTGACTACTAAGCGAGGTTTTTGCTTCTGTGTATGCCTCTGTCTTCTCAAAATCATGAAGGAAATGAAAAATGACACAAGAATGCAAAAAATGCAGGAAACGAGACATTTGAGAAGCTCGGGACGATAGGCACCTCCTCCAACCTTCTGGTCTATCTCACCACTGTCTTCAACATGAAGAGCATCACTGCTACTAATATCATTAACATCTTCAATGGGACCATCAATTTTGCCACCTTGCCCGGAGCTTTCCTCTGCGACACTTACTTTGGCCGTTACAAGACTCTAGGATTTGCTTCAGTGTCCTCGTTTCTGGTACTTAAATTTAGCATTGCATCATTGCATGGTTCACTTGTATTATGTTCCAAGCACGACAGTGTGCAAGTGTAACTAGGATCTATTTAACATTCCATTTCATGTTCCAGGGGATGCTCATACTTACTCTAACAGCGGCCATAGAGACGATGCATCCTCCTCATTGTGAGGCAGAGGAGAGCAGCTCGTGCCGTGGACCGACATTTTGGCAAATGGCGTTTCTGCTCAGCGGGTTTGGACTGCTTGTGATTGGAGGTGGCGGGATTAGACCTTGTAACCTGGCATTCGGTGCTGACCAGTTCAATCCCAATACGGCATCCGGGAAGAGGGGAATTAGTAGCTTCTTCAATTGGTACTATTTCACCTTTACTTTTGCCATGATGGTATCTTTGACGATCATCGTCTACGTGCAAGCTGATGTGAGTTGGGCTTGGGGATTGGCCATTCCCACGTTCCTCATGTTCTTGTCATGTGCTCTCTTCTTTGTGGGAACGAGAATATACGTAAAAGTTAAACCAGATGGTAGTCCGCTGGCAAGTGCCTCACGGGTGATGGTGGCAGCAATAAAGAAGAGGAAGTTGAAGTTGCCGGACCAGCCATGTCTCTCCTTGTATGACTATGTTCTAAGCAGTTCTATCAACTCCAAGCTCCCTCACACCGATCAATTCAGGTTTTTTTCTGGTGCTTTCTCATCTTGCCTTTCATTTTCATGGGTTTCCCGTGCTGAGCAGCATCAGAAATTGTTTGCATAGTGCAATATCTGATGAACTTCCAGAGAGAGCGATAACCTTTGAAAAATGAATGGTAGTTAGCTAGGATAAGAAAACTGTCTATAATGTATTTTATACTTCTGACGATACAGCTGTAAGCTGTCCTCATTATTTTGATTATATATTGGCGAAACATATCGAGCCTTTGTCTGGTCTATGCATCAAGAATTTCGAGAAATGACAAGCACGACTGCACCTAAAATTTCATCACCTAAAGCAAATTCTAGAGAGAAAACATCACATGCTAGCAAAATAATATGTCTTGTCCTATCAACATGCAATGTTTTATGCTCCTAACAATTAGTTCCAGCAAGCTATATCTGATCTGCTTGCACTAAACAGTACGATTATGAATGATATGTGAACATGATTTTGGGCATAGTTGAACAAATCTTCCAGATCCATGACCCCAGAGGATAAAAAAGCGCACACTTTCTTTGGTTGCAAAAGTTGCCGGAACACATATATTGGCACTAGGGAAATGCAACATGAGAAAATCAATTAAATGAGAGATGGGTTTTCTAACAGGTTTTGGTCCACAAGAACACCAGGATCAGACAAGGAACAATGTTCTTAACATTTAACTTAGTCGTTGATGATTTCAGATTCGTCGACAAAGCCGCAATCATCACTCCACAAGACCAAATTAACCATGATGGATCAGCAGCCAATCCATGGAGACTCTGCAGCATTCAGCAGGTTGAAGAAGTGAAGTGTTTGATAAGAGTCATACCCATTTGGATCTCGGCCATGATCTACTACATAGCCTTAGTCCAACAGCAAACCTACGTAGTCTTCCAAGCCCTTCAATCTGATCGACGCCTCTGGAGCTTGAACTTCAAGATTCCAGCCGCCACTTATATTATATTCTCGATGATCACCCTCACTATCTGGATTCCTATCTACGACAGGATGATCATCCCGTGCCTAAGGAAGTTGACGGGAAAAGAAGGCGGGATCACACTTCTCCAGAAGATGGGAATCGGCATATTCCTGGCCGTGATCACGATGCTTATATCAGCCATTGTTGAGAACAAAAGGAAAACTTTGGGACTGACTGAGCCCATTGGGATTGACCCAAGGAGAGGCGCAATTTCTTCTATGTCAGGATTATGGTTGGTGCCTCAGCTGGTAATGGGAGGATTGTCTGAAGCATTCACTATCATCGCTCAAATTGAATTTTACTACAAGCAGTTCCCGGAAAACATGAGAAGCATTGGCGGGTCGCTCTCTTTTGTGGGGTTTGCAATGTCAAATTACTTGAGTAGCTTGCTGATATCCATCGTTCACCAGGTCACAAAAGGAGGAGAAGCAAATGGTGACTGGTTGCCTCAAGATCTTAACAAGGGAAAGTTGGACTACTTTTATTATCTGGTTGGTGTATTGCAGGCATTGAACTTAGGTTACTTCATAGTATTTGCTAGGTGGTATAAGTACAAAGGAAGCAGCATTAGCACTAGTGTTGAAGTCGATACGGAGAAATTCAACTCGGAAAGAGTTATTGTTTGATCCATCACGCCATTCGGACACAATTAAGAACGTCAAAAGGCTATAATTCCCAGTCCAGTGTCTAAGTAAATGCAATCTGGTGTGGCTTGTTTGGAGTAACGATTGCAAGACGGCACGACCTTGGATCAGATTGAAAGATAACTCACCGACTTCATAGCATCTTGTTCGTGCCTCAGTCTTTCATCAGTTTTCTAGAATATGTTTCACCTAATATACATGTAATTTCCATGTTATAGCGGAGAATAGAGCTTTTTACTGCTGCCAACGGCATACATGTAATTTCCATCGTAACTATGTATGTCTTATGACTTTCACTATTTATTGGAGCAATATCTTTTATAGTTGTAATCCCAAAACTTGTAACTTTGATGCTCATACTAATAGTGAAGAGATTGCCTAATGCTACACCGTGGTTTTTCTCTTTCTAATTTTGAGAGGGTTTTTCCACTTAAAAATTAGCTTGTCTTTTTCTTTATTTTTTCTCTTCAAAGATCCGCGTTCCTAACAACTAGTATCAAAGCTGATGAATATGGACAAAGGGAAGGTGAACATTAATCAATTCGATGGCAAGGATTTTGGTTTCTAGAAGATACAGATTGAGCATTTGTTGTATTAGAAGAACTTGTATCAGCCTCTATCGGGAGAGAAACCATATTTGATCAAGCAAAAAGAGTGCAAATTGTTAGATAGGCAAGCTCTGGGTGTGATTCGTTTCAAATTGGCGCAAAACATTACTTTCAACTTCGCCAATGAGAAGACAACGGCGGATTTGATGAGGGTGTTGTCCAACATGTACGAGAAGCCTTCTGCATCAAACAAGGAATATTTGACGCGTCGACTTTTCAATTTGAAAATGAACAAAGGTGCTTCTATGACATCAACGAATTCAACGATCACAACTCAGTTGAATTCGGTGGAAATCAAATTCGATGACGAGATGAAAGCTTTAATTTTGCTATCTTCTCTACCTAACGATTAGACTGCAATTGTGCTACAGTGAACAATTCCTCAGATTAAAAATAGTTGAAGCTTCAAAAAATTTGAGATTTGATTCTTAGCGAGGATATTCAAAGATGAGAGTCGGGTGAATTTTCGAGTGTTGAGAGAGAAGCAATCAACGAGAGTGGAACCAGTGCCGTGGTAGATCGAAGTCCAAAGGGAAAAGCAAATGGAGACCTCATGGTGGAATTGCAAAGAGAAAGGCCATCTAAGACGAGATTGTGGAGGCTCAAAGAAGAAAATTCGATATCGAGATCAAAATCAAGAGGAAGAAAATCTGTGAATGTAACTCTTTTGAGCATTGACAGTCCGATTAAGTCTTGGATTCCAAACTCAGGTGCGTCATTTCACTCAACTTCGTGCAAAGTATTAATGCACAATTTTGTTCCTGAAAAGTCTGGAAAGGTGTTGATATTGTAAGAAAGGAGTGATGTTCACGTAAAAACTACTAATGGGTGTCAACGGAAGTTATATAATGTCAGATACGTTCCAAGACTTAAGAGAATTCTTATTTCTGTAAGTCAATTGGACAGCATAGGTTACAGAATTATGTTGAGGATAGTTCTTGAAAAATAGTTTAAGGTAGTTTGGTTATAGCATGGGGAACAAAGTCAGAAACATTGTACATGACTAAGAGCAGTAGAGAAACAATGGCAATTTCTGAGTTGGAAGCTAATTCCAAATCGTGGAACTGTAGACTTGAAGACATGAGCGAAAATGGAATGAAGGTATTCACATCAAGAGGAAAATTGCCTTGATTTGAAGTCCATGGATATTGGTCTATGTAAAAAATATGTTCTAGGCGAACACACACGTGTCAGTTTTTCGAAAATTCAGAGAGAACAAAAAAAAAAAAGAAAATTAGAGTTGGTGCATATGGATGTGTGGGCCCGCTCTCTTGCATTTGCTCATGCTACTATGTCACGTTCATTGACTATTCCACCAAGAAGGCATGAGGTTGTTTTCTGAAAAATAAATCTAATGTTTTGAGATTGGCCTGAAGATTAGATGTCTAAGGTTTGATAATGGTGATGAGTATGATAGCAAGAAGTTCCAGCGGTTTTGTGCAGAGAATGGAATCGAGATGACAAGAACAGTTCCCAACAGACCGCATCAGAATAGAGTTGCTAAGAGGATGAACAAAACTCTAGACAAGCATGCAAAAAGTATTGCATGCAGGATTACCCAAGACATTTTGGACAGACGTAATTAACACAGCAGCATATCTGATCAACAAAGGACCTTTGAGTCCGCTCGATTTCAAGCTACCAGAAGAAGAATGGAGTGGAAAGGTAAATCTCATGCATCTCAAAGTTTTTGTTATGTTTCATATATCCACATACATTTTGAAAATAAAGATAAGTTTGATGCAAAAGCTAAAAAAAGGTTTTTCATTGGATATGGTTCTGATTGTAATTGGCTATCGATTCTAGGATGAACAAATTAGAAAAATAATAAGAACTGCCGATGTTACAGTCAATGAAACCGTGTTGTACAATGACTAATTTATGGTAGAATCCAATTTGAAGAAACAAATGGTGGAGACTAGAGAGATTGAGTTAGAGGCGATTTCTAAGAGTATTCTGATTAGAAATCCTGAAATTGTTGCTATAGATTCTGATAAAAAATCAGAACAGAATTACATACACATAAACCACTTTATCTAGTAGAGCATCTAAACATGTACAAAGGTATTCTCCATCATTGCATTTTTTGCTTTTGACTAATGCTAGCGAACCAAAAACTTTTTTAGACATGGTGCAGTTTAAAGATTTTGTCATGTGGGAGTTAGCACTGCACTATGAGTGGGATTCACTTGAGATGAACAGAATTGGGTTAGCTTAGTTACCAAATGGGAAGAATGTATTACAGAACAAGTGGATGTACCGATCAAATTAGAACCTGATGGCAACAAGAGGTACAAAGCAAGGTTAGTAGTAAAAGGTTTCCAGTAAAAGAAAGAAATTGAATATACAGAGATTTTCTCTCTAATTGTAAAGTTGACTATTATCAAGCTAGTGTTGAGTATCGATGTTGCTGAGAATTAACATCTAGAGCAGCTAAATGAAAAGATTGCATTCCTCCATGGTAACTTAGAGGACGACATCTACATGATACAACCAAAAGGTTTTCGAGTTCCTAAAAAAGAAAATTATGTATGCAAGCTGAAAAAAGTCTTATTGGCTTGAAACAGACTCATAGGCAATGATACTAGAAATTTGATACATTTATGTGCGGTAACAGGTTCGCTAGAATTGAAGTGGATTGTTGTTGCTACCTCAATAAATTTGGCGACTACTATATTATATTGATGTTGGATGTGGATGATATGCTCAATGCATGATCTAGCATGAAGGAGATCAACATATTGAAGTAGCAATTGTCAAAAGAGTTTGAGATGAAGGACTTGGGAGCAATGAATCGGATTCTTTGGATGAGGATCACGCGAAATAGATTTGAAGGAATTCTAAAATCATCTCAAGAAAGTTCGAAGTTCATAATGCAAAGCCTAGAAATACTCATTAAGGAAGTCACTTTAAGTTCTCAAAGAAGCAGTCACCAAAGAAAGATGAAGAGTGGTAATATATGGCTAAAGTGCCTTTTGCTTCGGCTATTGATAATTTGATGTATGTTATGGTGTGTACTAGACTAGACACAGCTCACGCAATGAGAGTTGTGAGCAGATACATAGCTAATCCAAGAATAAAGCATTGGGAAGTTGTACCGTGGCTATTAAATACCTAAGAGCCACTTTAGGTATGTCACTATGTTTTATAGAAAAAAATATGTAAATTTATAAGGTTGTGTGGATGCATATCTTAATGGTAACTTGGATAATAACAAAAGCACCTCAGGTTATGTTTTTACTTTTGGTGGCACTGCAATGAGTTGGATGTCTAGGCCTTAAAAGTGTGTCTCTCTCAACCATTGAAGCAAAGTATGTTGCTTTATACGAAGCTAGTGAGAAAATGATTTGGTTGAAGATTTTCTAAAAAGATATGCAAGGAGCAAGATGACAGTGTTTTTTCATTGACAGTCGGAGTGCGATTTGTCATGCAAAGAATGCGGTAATTCATTTAAGGCAAAGCACATTGACTTGAAGAAAATTATTGGTGCAAAAAATCCAACAGATATGAAACCAAGGTTGTGCATTGCCTCAGTTGACCCCTATAATTAGTGATGAAGGGGCCCCACACTAGGACAATTTGGGTTACAAAGACAAGTAAAAACTATTGCTATTTTGAAGATGGGATAATGACACAAACTGTCCCTGAACTTTGACTCAATGTGCAATTTGATCCCTGAATTTTTAATTTATTCAATGTAATCCATGAACTTTAAGCTAATATTCAATGTGGTCCTTGAACTTTAAGCTAATGTTCAATGTAGTCCCTGAAATTTTATTTTGTTCAATGTCGTTCCTGAACATTTGGTACACGTTCAATTCAGTCCCTAAACTATATGAAAATGTTCAATGTAGTCCCTGAACTTGAATTAATGGAAAGTACGACATTAAACATTTTCATATAGTTCAGGAACTAAATTGAACATGTACCAAAAGTTCAGGGATGACATTAAACAAATTAAAAGTTCAGGGACCATGTTACATATTTGGTTAAAGTTCAAGGACTACATTAAACAAATTAAAAGTTGAGGGATCAAATTGCACATTGGACCAAAGTTCAGGGACTGTTTGTGTCATTTTGCCAAGATGAAGATCAGCCTCTAAGAAGGAGATTGATGGAGTTGTGGAGGCTGATAAAAAAGATTAATATTAAAGTTCAAAACTTTTATTACTAATAACATACATGTAATTTTATTGTTAAAGTAGAGGATAAAGCTTTCTTTTGTTGCTAATGGCATACAATGTAATTTACATCACAATTATGTATTCCCAAAACCCCCGCTATATATTGGAGTAATATCTTTTGTAATTGTAACCTTGAAAGTTGTAACTTTGATACTCATACCAATGGTAAAGAAATTACTTAGTGCGCTACCGTGATTTTTCCCATTCTGATTTTAAAAAGGTTTTTCACGTAAAAATTCACTTGTCTTCTTCTCTATTTCTTCTCTTCAAAAGTTCACTTTCCTAACATTTGATCCAGTTACTAAAAAAGTTGATTAGAGACTGCGAGTTCCTTACTCACCCGATTTAAATATGAAGAGAATTTGCAACGACAAAAGTCGTCCGCCATTACCTTCACCATATCGTGCAGTTCTAGTTAGGCACGGACATGTATAATAAATTTCCAAGCCTCCAATCATAAGCAACATTCAAGGGAAACCTGTAGGAAGAAAGAAGAATCGGCTCCACCATAATTCTCGGCGTTGAACAGGGTGATCTAAACAATGAGCTGAGCAGAAAGAAACCTGTCGGAAAAGAAAATATTAAAGTAGGTCCTCAGTCCACAGATTCCAGAACTTAATTAAGGGAAAATTACCAAAAAGTCCTCAACCTTTTGCTTACGCCAATTTAATCCTAAACCTTTTTTTTTTTTGTCAATTCGTCTCTAAACCTTTGCAATTCGGCACAATTCATCCTTTTGGCCGGCGGAGGCGCGTAGACTAGACAGCTAGCAGCCGACGTGGACGCCCGACCGCCGGTGACATGGTAATATTTTAATATTTTTCTCGAATTTTTTTCCTTTCTCTTTTTTTTTCTTTTCCTTCTTCCCCCTGCACCCGGCCCGGGGGAAGCTCGCCGGCGAGGTCCACTGGGAGGCTCGCGCCGTCGGCAAGAGCAAGGCGAGGCAACCTCGCCCGGCCCTCGCCACATTTGTGCGACGGCGAGGGCCGGCGAGGCGAAGCTCGCCATGGGCTGAGCCGACTGCGCCTCCGCCGGCCAGGCAAGCTCGCGTCGACCACGCCCGCCGGCGGCGGCGAGGCTCGCCCGGCCATGGCTTAGCCCACCCTCGCCGGTCCTCGCCCGCTGTCGACGAGGGCGGCCGCCTCGCCGCACGGCCACGGCGAGGCTCCCTCGCGTGACCCGGGCGAGGTCGCCCGCCGGCCATGGCGAGCGGCCGCGATGGCGACCTCACCCAGATCCGGCGAGGTCGAGCCTCGAGCCGTGTCAGCAGGACGGCGAGGCTCCGACCTCGCTAGATCGGGCGAGGTCGAGCTCGCCCGGCCATGGCGAGCGGCGGCGAGGGCGACCTCGCCTAGTTCTGGGCGAGGTCGAGCCTCGCCGTGGCGTGCGACGGCGAGGCTCGCCCTCGTCTCGGCCGGGGCGAGACCGACGAGGGGTGGAGCTCGCCATGGCCGGGTGAGCTACGGGTGGCGGCGAGGCGCAGCTCGCCCGCCCATGGCGAGCTCCGCCGCCATCGCACTGGCCGTGGCGAGGTTCAGGCAAGGTCGCCTCGCCTTGCCGGCGAGCGGCGAGCCTCCCGGCTGGACCTCGCCTTGGCCCGAGACGGCGGGAGTGGCTGGGAAGAAGGAAAAGAAAAAAAGAAAAAAAGGTTTATGACTGAATTGGCACAACTGTAAAAAGTTGAGGATTTTTTTGGTAATTTTCCCCTTAATTAAGCTTTTAAGTGAGAAAGAGAAGTTCTGTTCACAGACAAAACAAAGCTACCTCTTCTCGCGTACACACGTTAGGTTTACATGTGACGTATCCACTTTTTCTCCTCTAGGTACAAAGTGTATGAGTTTTCTAATGTGGGCTACATTAATTGATATTATAATTAATTATTTTATGGGCTTGTTATAATAAGGTTAGATATAAAATTTCTTTATTAGTCTAATATGGGACTTGCTAGTGTGAATCGAGTAAAGCCCGGCCCGTGATAAGAAGGCCTAGCTTAAAACTCTATAAAAAGAGTTTAAGTCCCTCCTCTAACCCTAACACACATATTTCACATAAGGAGCAAATGCTATCCGTGAGAGACGTCTCATTGAACCAGGTGATGCATAGGGTGATGAAGGAGAAGACTTGCGCTGAGGATGGTCGCTATCCAGCATCTAGAACGATAGATTTCAAATCAGGTGTGCAAATACCTTTTACTTGATGAATATGTTTTAGTTTCTAGCTATAGTGATTTTGGGTGCCATTTTATCGTGATTAACACAAAGATGCTCTGCACAAAGTGAAGAGAGTCCACATCTGTTCTTTTATGAGATGAACATGTCACGGAGGTTCGACCAAAAAAGAAAAAAACGTGTCACGGAGAAGAGCAATTGGTTTGACTGTTGGTTGGATTGCATCATCGGTTTCAAAAGCGAGGCCCGACTCACATGTTGACTCGAGTGGATGATAGGATTTTAGACTTTTGTGGCAGGTTCCCGGTATTGCTACTCCTATCATAATATTGAATCCAGTGCGTTTTCACCACCCTGATGATGATTTGGTTGTTCTTTCGTCTTTTTATACTCCACCACTCGGACGTTTCAAGGAAAAAATCTCTGACTTTGTGGACTCTTGTGTCAGCAATGACGACCGTTGGGGTCCACCAAAAGCCACCGCTGAACACACCTAAATTTTTCACGCACCATGAATACTCGCTCAGTATCGGTCATGTTTGATTGTTGACGTTATGAACAAAATCAATCATAATATAAAAAATTTAAAGTGAATTTAAAAAAAAAAACCTCAATTTTAGATTAAGTCCTAAATTTATCCCGAATTTTTTTTATCTAAAAAAATTCTCAAATTTTAGGTCAAGTTTCAAATATGCCCCGAACATTTTTTGTCTAAAAAAGAAACTCCAAACTTTAACTTCAGTCCCAAATCTATTATGAATTTTGTTTTGTGTAAAAAAATCAATAAATTTTATTTATTTTCAAAAATATATCCCGTTATCCAGTCCCAACTTCATGTGACACTTCGACGTCAATAACAAATCCACATCAGCAAAATAATGGAGCGATAGGTAGAGGCCAACGTCGCATTTTCACTTTGATGACAAATCCAACCCAATAAAAATTGTTGATCGATGTAGGATATGAAAATTAGGGACGATAACAAATCCACCTCAAAAAACTTTTTTTAATATGAAAGAAAACCCAATTTTTAGGTTGAGTCCAAATTCGCCTCGAACTTTTCTTTGTCTAAAAAAAAGCCTCATTACTTTGTTAATGTGGATTTGTTATCAACGTGGAAGTTCTACATCAAGTTGAGACTGGATCACGCAAGTATATTTTTTAAAATAAATTGAATTTTGATGATTTTTTTTTTACACAAAACAAAATTTGGGCCAGATTTGGGACTGGACTTAAGGTTTAGGGTTTTTTCTGAGGAAAAAAAAAGTTCGGGGAATATTTGGGACTGGACCTAAAGTTGGGGTTTTTTAGGGAATTAGGCCGAAAAATTCAAATAAGACATGTCTAACAGGATATTCAAAAACGGCTTTGCTTTCATAAGAATTTTCCGCGAGAGAGAGAGAGATGGCATTAGTTCTCCCAATCAAGACTCGTGGGAGTGGAAGACAATTTTGGCCGGTGGGACTGGGGAAGTGGCATGTAAATTTCCTCCCACTCAATTATTTAGAGTTCTCCCATTCACATTGACTATTTGGTCTGTATGCGACACTACAAAGCCCAGAGGGACAGGGAGATAGGAGGGACATCCAACAAAGGATGGAGGAGGAGAGGAAGAATGAGGGAGCACAGACCATCCACCCCACCAATGGAGAAGCCACAGAGAGAGAGCACAAGCTTGTCAATGGCAGCGCCAAAGAAATGGAGGTGGAGGAAAAAGCTGTCACAAGTGAAGAGACCATCAACTACAGAGGATGGAAGGCCATGCCCTTCATTATAGGTGAGCAAAAAGACGAGAGTCTTCTTGTTCAGACCCATGAGAGATATTTTTCCTCCTGAACTGTAATTTAATGTTTCTATGTGGACAAAACTGAAAAAACTTCTCAGGAAATGAGACTTTTGAGAAGCTGGGAGCTATTGGTACCTTGGCCAACCTCTTGATCTACCTCACCACTGTGTTCAACCTGAAGAACATCACAGCCGCAAACATCATCAACATCTTTAATGGCACCACCAATTTCTCCACCTTGGTCGGTGCTTTCCTGTGTGACACGTACTTCGGCCGCTTTAAGACCCTTGGGTTCTGTACAGTCGCTTCTTTTCTGGTAATTCATTTCTACTTCTTCTTAATCTCTCATTTTGAATCAATGTTTCTAGGACACACTGATCCTGTGGCTAGAAGCAGTTACTTATTTAGTGCCAGAGCAGACACCGTATGTCAGAAATATGCACAGATTTGGCATGCTTGAATTTTCAATTTCCATTGGCATAGGGCATGCTGTCTCTGATCTGATTCACTCTCAATAGGCAGCAGCAACTACTATATGGTTCGTGGTACTGGATTTAGGGTTTTCGTTTAAGCAAGTTGCTGTCCGAATGCAGCTGATTTACTGCCTTGTTCAATTAGGGCTTGCTAGCGATACAACTTACAGCAGCAATCAAGAATCTGCATCCGCCAGACTGTGGAGACAACACCACATGCGTCGGACCAACAGCAGGCCAGATGGCCTTCCTAATTGCTGCGTTCGGGCTGCTGATTTCTGGGGCAGCTGGCGTCCGCCCCTGCAATTTAGCATTTGGAGCTGACCAATTCAATCCCGGGACCGTATCAGGAAAGAGAGGGATCAACAGCTTCTTCAATTGGTACTTCTTCACCTTCACTTTCGCGCAGATGGTCTCACTGACGCTGATCGTGTACGTGCAATCGAACGTGAGCTGGGCAATCGGGTTATTGATCCCGGCAATTCTGATGCTCATATCATGTGCAGTCTTCTTCATGGGTTCGAAGATATATGTGAAAGTAAAAGCTCAAGGTAGTCCTTTAACAAGTGTCGCACAGGTCATCGTCGTGGCCATAAAGAAATGCCGACTTCCAACGCCCGAGCAACCCTCGCTGTCTCTTCATAATTATACTCCTCCAAAAACTATCAACTCCAAGCTTCCTTACACAGATCAATTCAGGTACCGAAAATGAGCCGCAATGACATGTGCTGGATCTGCGATCATGGTCAGAGAGTCAGAGACGAAGCTTAATTAGCTCTTTTTTTTCATCAGGTGCCTCGACAAAGCAGCAATAGTGACAGCTGAAGACAACAAAAGGCCGGATGGATCATCGGCCGATCCATGGAGACTCTGCAGCTTGCAGCAAGTGGAGGAAGTGAAATGTATTATAAGAGTGATGCCAATTTGGGTAGCGGGTGTGTTCTATTACCTTGTCATCGTCCAACAACAAACCTATGCAGTCTTCCAGGCCACTCAAATGGACAGACGCCTCGGGAACACCAGCTTCAATATCCCAGCCGCATCGTACGTTGTCTTCCTGATGTTGAGCCTCACAATCTTCATACCCATCTACGACCGATTGATCGTCCCATTCCTCCGGAGGCTTACGGGGAAAGAAGGCGGCATCACACTCCTCCAGAGAATGGGCATCGGCTTGTTTTTTGGTGTGCTAACCATGCTGGTGTCCGCCATAGTGGAAGAGCGCCGGAGATCAATAGCTCTGACGAAGCCCACTCTTGGGGACGTTCCCAGACGAGGCGCGATTTCATCAATGTCAGCCTTGTGGTTAATCCCTCAGTTCGTACTTGCAGGCCTCACCGAAGCATGCGCATCGATCAGCCTTGTCGAATTATATTACAAGCAGTTCCCTGAGAACATGAGGAGCATTGCAGGTTCTCTGTACTATTGTGGCATGGCAGGCTCGAGTTACTTGAGCAGTCTACTCATATCGATTGTTCACAAGAACACGAAAGGAGCGGAAGGCGGGAACTGGTTGCCAGAGGATCTGAATAAGGGAAGATTGGACTATTTCTATTACCTGATTGCTGTGTTGGAGTTTCTGAACTTGGTGTACTTTCTAGTATGTTCAAGGTGGTACAAGTATAAAGGAACAGATGTTGTTAGCCGTGAAGCGGACATAGAAATGAAGTAACATGAGCAGACTCTTGTTTGAATGGTAGTCTGAGAGAATCACATCACCACATTCATCTCATTGAAAAATGGGCCTCATACGGAATTTTGTAGCGATTTGATCTGAGATAGCCCTAGCTATAGAATGTCAGTTATGGTTGACACAACCATTATGAATTTGAATTGTTTACAGAATAATTTAGCAGAAACCAAAAAGAATTTCACCCATTAAGCTCATTTTGTATCAGATTAGGCCAGATGCTCAGATAGCATCAATGAACATTGTTGGAAGTTTGCCACACATGTAGGTGTAAGTGGGCTATATTAATTGACTGCTGATAGAAATATATAGGCCCTATTTTGTGTTTAGAGTGGCATTTAGACTTTTGGCATTGAGAATTGTCTTTTAATGCTGACAATAACTTCATTGAACTATATATGTTCTGGAAAAAATGGCTTGTAACACCAGTTAGGATGCCTTGCTGCCAATAATTTTCTGTTTTTTTTCTGCCACTTCCAATCTTAACAGACACAGAGATAATTCGACTTTTGTGTGCCTAAATTTTTATCAGTAGATACTTTATATCATTTTGGCACATTTATAGGGCAATGTTGCTATTTGAAAAGGTTTGGCAGGAGAGAAGCCAAAGTTTACAGGCTATGAGACCCCAGAAACACTCAAATGTAATGATTTAGGCACATTCATCACAGTTTTCTTATTTTCAACACCCATCTTACAATTTGCTCACCTACTTCAACCACCGCAACATAAAATAGAAGACTCACTAGGTTTAAATTTAGGACATAAGAATGCACGTGACATATGATCCTCACTTTATGTATTTTGCTGGACCTAACGATCACGCCCTTATCAAAGCTCGAACAGTTGGAACAGCACACACGGATGCTCATGCTTGTGTTCTGTTTAGACACGACAATCTTTCGTGCGAAAAGAATGTAATGTCAAGTCCCAGGAGTTGGTAGATGAATGCCATCTGCGCATGCTTCATGTAAAAGACCATGGCACGTAAATTAGATTTGTCGATGCAGAACAAGATCCAAACCAACCGATCTGAATGCTTTCTCATTCGGACATCTACCTTATTATTTACAACTAATTTTAGGCACATTCTATAGTAGATCAGCAGGAAAATTGTCCAAAAAGTCCTAAAATTATTGCACTTTTGCCAATTCAATCTAAACCTTTCAATTTTACTAATTAAATCCAAAACATTTTCACTTTTTGCCAATTAAGTCCATCCGGCCAATTTTGATCAGAAATTACTGACATGGACACCGACTGTCCTACTTAGCGTCTCCGATGCTAACGTGAACACTTTTTAATAATATTTTTTATTATTTTGAAATTTTTATTTATTGTTCCTTTATTCTGTTCTTTTTCTCTCTTTCTTTCTTTCTGCCATTCTCCTTGCGACCGGCCAAAGTCGAGGGCCGACAAGGTCAAGCGAAGCTTGCCCCCGCCGACCACTGATGAGGGCAAGCCTCGCTCACCGTTGGCTAGGCAAGGCCATCATTGGGAAAGGGAGGACCTAGTGACAAAGTGGGTTCTCCCTTGCCTTGGCTGGGCAAGGTAGAACCTTGCCCTCGCTGGTGGCCAACGGGAGCAAGCTTGTCAGACTGGCAACAGGGAAAAAGGGGAAAAAAAAAGAGGAAAAATTAATAAAAATATTCGAAAAATATTAAAATATTATTTAAAATTGTCCACATTAGCGCCAGTGACACCATGTAGGACAGCTGGTGTCCACGTCAGCAATTTCCAATTAAAATTGACCGAATTGACTCAATAGCAAAAAGTGAAAAGGTTTGGAACTCAATTGACAAAATTGAGAGGTTTAAGACTGAATTGGCAAACGTGCAACAGATTTATAACTTTTTGCATAACATTTCCGTAAATCAGCTGCTATTGGAAGTTACAGGTTAAAGATCAGATAACACAATAGATGAATGTTCCATATAAATAATCCACATCAGCAATAATTGCCAGTTTCCAAATCTTCTTAGTAAAGAAAAATGGAACTCAAATTGTCTCTTCCAAAGAAAAAGAAAATCTCGAATTATCTTTGAATTTGATTTCTAGTGATATGAAGATTAACCAACTCCTTAATTCTTTTGTTTTGACTATCAAAAAAAAGAAGAAAACATTACAGTAGCACTCCTGCGGCCAATGTGCAGACGGGCAACGTGCACCCAGCGTGCCACCCGCGAACGGCTGGCAGGCTGCCGATTGATAATTTGATGCTAATAGAGTTTTGAAGATCAGATCTTACTCGTCCACCAAGAAACTAATCTTCAGGGAAACAGTAACATGATGAGCAGTTAATATCACTGAAAGCTGTGGATCTCACTAATTAGAGCGTAAAACGGAAGTTGATTTCCACCCATATTTTGGGAATTTTGCTGACTAAAAGCCAAACTATAAATAGATGAAGTTCGGTGAAGCACCTGAAGTGCCATAGATTTGGATATGGTAACAGAAATGAAGATCATAACTACTCATGACATGCTAATTACAAGTGTCCTTAATCTCAGTGCAAACGTTGAAGTACAGAAGATGGACTGCGCCCCCAGGGACTGTCCTTCAGACAGTGTATGCTTGCTGGATCGTTTCGATGTCAAGGCCCTTCAGTCGGAACACAGACTCCACATGACCTTTCAGGGTATGCAGTTCCCTCAACCTGCAGAAGCAGCGAAGATGAGGGAAAATATTGAGAGGCAAAGTAAACAACCTATAAAAGTTCGAGAGAATTCACATCACCGAGAGACAAATCTCTAAGATTTCACCTACCGAGCAATTTCAGCCCTTCTTTTCGCTTCTTCAGCGATATGATTGAGTTCATTGAAACGGGCTCTTTCGGTAAACATTTTAGTGTCAGGCGGTTGCAATCCATGCAGTGTTCTTTGTGCATGTGCCCACTGAAGCTCACGCTGTTCCTTTCCAAAGTCCTTTTGCCTCGTGAACGCGATCTGAGGAACGATCAAACAAAGAAAGATACTAATAAGAACACAACACGCAGAGACAACAGATTGTAAACCAATTACTGAAGTTCATACCCTCTGCTCAATAACCAGATCCCAAGCCCGCCCACTTAAGGCATAGCGTGTGAAGAACTTTATTAAATCTAGCGGGATATAGAAAATTATGTTATAAAGCCAGATCACACCAGCCCAACCCCAACCAATTCCTTCAATTGCAGCAAAACTCCAATTTGCGTATACAGCAATCAAAGTAGCGATCTGCAGAGTGTGGAAGATATGAATAGCTTCTCTACTCCAGTAAAACAGTTTCTGAAAAAACAGCTCAAGAATGATCGGGATATGACTCACCAGCTGAGCAATTACAAAAGCCACTACAAGCAATAATCCGGGACGCTCAACATAAGACCAGCCTCTGGATCGCGTAACAAATATAAGGGCCTGACTGATGGTGCTTACTTGCAGATATATTGCAGAGGCAAGTTTCCGGAAGTCATCATGGGCAGTCTTCTCCAGAGTCGATACCCCGAAGGTTCTCTGCAAATTACAGGCTAATGAATATCCCTTCAAGAAATAATTTGCAGGTGGACAGATGGTCCAAAAAATTTTACTCCACATACTCCAGAGTAACTGTGTTCTAGTGTAATAACAAAATTTTCATTGGACATAAAACCTTAAATGCTTGTGTCAAACAAATTGTATTCGAAGAAAAGGGATGGATTCCAAATGATACCACTTCCAGCACGTGGTACTTCTAGGTTTATCAAAGCTTGCTTTTTCCATAAGCATAAGGATTTTCGAACCAAGACTACAGATTCAGATGAATGTACCGGGAAAAAATCTGTTTTGTATGCTGCCCAGAAGAATATAACTGTCATCATTGCCAGGTAACTGCCGAGGACAACGCCAGTTGTAAAAATTTCAGCTAGCTTCCAGCTGTCCGGTAGAGGAGAGGGTTTCACTCTATCTTTTGAAATTGTCATAATGGTACCTGAAAATTCAAAGATAAATTTTAAAAAGATCGAAAATCAAGCAAAGAAAGGAAGGTAGGTATGCTTCTACATGAATCACAAATGTCGGATTAGTAGTTTAATCAATTAGAGAGATGAAAAGGGCACATCGATTTCACCATTTTAGTAAATTACAATAAAAGAATGGATGGATCTAAAAAAATTGGACAAGAATGCAGAAAAAAATTCTAAACAATGATCAGACAGAGTAAGAGTGAGCTAACCGTCATTCAGAATGGCTATAATCAGCACCATAAAAGGTGGAAAATCAAACTTCCATATAAGGGCAAGCAGCATAAAGCCAAGCTGTCACAAGATCAAAGAGGGACCCTGGGTATTAGGATGATGACAAGATTTTGTTATATTTTCCACATCAAAAGCAAAATTATGACAACTCACCACTATACGAATTGTTATAGAGACTGCATAGATCTGTAAAGCATAAGAAACAAAAATGAATGAGTGTAACTACTGAAAAGAAGGATCTGATACACAGACTAGAGAATCTCACAAATCAAATCGATGAGTCAAAAAAACACGTTCTTAGGGTTGATGCTTACAGTATAGTTTTTCATCCTTTGGAAGATTGCCCGACTAGTCAGAACAGCACTGATGATGACACTAAGGCCAGGTTCAGTGAGGACGATGTCAGAAGCACTGCGGGCCGCATCAGTTGCATCAGCAACAGCTATTCCAATATCAGCCTTCTTAAGAGCAGGAGCATCATTCACCCCATCTCCAGTCATCCCACAGATATGTTTCCTTGCTTGAAGTCTTTTCACAATCTCATATTTGTGTTCTAAAGCATGAAATGTCAACACACTCGATAATGCACAGCACATAACTTATTTGAATGTAGCTTACCGCAAAAGCCAAAAAAAAAAGAAAAGCAATTAAATCAGAATGCATACACACAGTATTTACCAGGGAAAACACCAGCAAAGCCATCTGCTTTTTCTATGAGCTCATCAATTGGTAACGCAGCAATGGACTCATCCTTGTCCTGCCCTAATAAAGCTGATGAAGGATACATGTTGGTTCCCATTCCCAAGCGGCGACCGGTTTCTTTTCCTATTGCCAGTTGATCCCCTGACAAAATTTGAGGAGTTTAGCAACAAAGACAAACAAACTGAAAGTTGATGCAAGGCAACAGCCAAAGAATCAGCACCACTTGCTCATATGTGGCCATTGAGGAAACTGAAAATTCAACAGGGATTTTAATACAGTAAGAACTCAGATACACACGCATGAGAGCGTAATGTCAGATAAACTAAAAGCATTGCAGATGAAAGAACGAATGATTGCATAATAGCAAAAAAAGAAGCATGCTGGTACTTCAAACAAGGACATCGTTACAAAAGCCCCAGCACTAGAGTCAAACTCTATGCATACCCATCCAAGGAGAGAAACTTCCACTGGGTCCAATTTTGGTCTTCCACGAGATATTTGACATAGAACTTCTAAAAGGCAAATGAAACATATTGATGCCATGTATTTTTAGTCAGCTACAGCGCACCCATAGTCAAAGTTCATGCATGATCTTATAGCAACAGTGGAAGGTTGTCAATTCAACAAGTAGTCTGACAACAGGAAGAAAAAGGAAGTTATCACTGAGGATCGACTTTTACACTTAGCCTAGTACGCATGACCTCCTCTTGGCACAGCAAGCCAGAGCATTATATTGACTCCCAAATAACCAACATACCTGTGATCATTTTGACATTCACTCCAAGATTCAAAGCCCTCCTAATCGTCTCCGCACTATCATGCCTTGGCGGGTCGAAAAGAGGCATGAGACCAATGAACTGCCATGGGCCCCCAGGACTCTCCTTCCTTCCTTCTGGAACTTCCTGAGTGGATGACATGGATCAAACCGGACTACTCAACAAAACTGAAGATATGGGGAGATCCTTTCAAATTGTTGTGCAACATATCAATTCAACAAGGAGCAGAACCTGGTATGCTACTGCCAGAGATCGTAAGCCACGCTCGGCAAACTTATCGATCACTGCATGGACGCGACGTTCAATCTCTGACTTATTGTGGGCCAGGTTCAGAATCTGAGGATAATTTTAAAACACGATGAGCTTTGAATTTCTCCCAATCAAGTTGAGAGAAGGAAAAACTGTACAAAGATAAGTAAACTTGCCTGCTCGGGTGCACCTTTGCTAACTCTATGCAATCTTCCTTCACTGTCAATGTAAGTCAATGCAGTCCTCTTATCTGTGGGATTGAAGGGAAGAAAATGTACCTCCTGAATTCCAGCTCGGGCCTTTTGATTGAAAGGTAGGCAGCAAAAGAGAACAATATTGAGAGTCGGGTGACTAAAAAGGCAGCAAGATAGAAATGGACGAGCAGCTTGACATTTAAAACTCACCTCCTTCGGGTCTGCCAGCGTCCCGACTATAGCAGTATCTATGGCATCTTGGTTTTCCGTTCTGGAAGCTCGAGCTGCCATCAGAACGACAGTATCTGGATCTACTCCTTTTGCGAAAACCTACCATCGTGTTTGAGCAATAGATTCACAAATGGCCAATTCTGAATGAAATTCCCCAACACAGTGAACGGCATCTAAAAAGATCCTCAACCAACCTCAACTAAACTTTTGTCAACAGTGAGCTTGTTCAATGTCAGTGTCCCAGTTTTGTCGCTGCAAAGAACATCCATACCTGCCATCTCTTCAATAGCAGTCATTCTCTTGGTGATTGCTCCCTGAAACCAGTGTCATCATATCCACATCAACTATCTAACCTCTGTGAAATAAGATTGAGCAGAAGACCCCGACTAACCTGTTGAGATAGTCTATGAGAACCAATGGCCATCGTGACTGAGAGAACAGTAGGCATGGCAATCGGAATACCTCCGATAAGAAGCACAAGAAGATTGTCAATTCCAGGACGATACTTCCTGTCTTGAATGGGGTACATGACAACAATCTCAATAATCATCCCCACAGCAATCGAGCATATGCAGAAGTTCCCAATAGAAGTCAAAACCTACAAAATATTCATGCTAGTTATCAGTAAAGAACTCAATGCACTCATCAAAGCACGCCTTTGCAAAACCACCAGTACAAGATGAGTTAATTCACATTTATTAGTAAATAAAGATGGATACTGTTTTTATCTTCTTGCCTTTTGGAAGTGTCCCACTTGGTTAGTGGTGTCAACAAGGTGAGCAGCCTTCCCAAAGAAAGTATGAACACCAGTGGCAATAACAACTGCTTCGATTTCTCCTTGCTTACAAGTAGACCCAGAATAGACACCATCTCCAGGGCCTTTAGTAACTGGAAGAGATTCGCCAGTGAGAGCAGACTGCGAATTTAACAGCAAAATCGCTTCATCCAAGAAAGCCACGCATCTCATATAATATAGTGTAACTAATGGAAGAAATATCCAACCTGGTCAATTTTCAACGGATCTCCATCAAGTAGACGGGCGTCAGCAGGGATAATATCTCCAAGTTTGACACTAACTATATCACCAGGAACCAAATCAGCGGCATCTTGCTCATTCCACCTCCCATCGCGAAGAACCTTTAACATGCTCAAATTTCAATTAATTCAGCAAAGAATATTCTGAAAACACCAATCAGCACCTTTCCACCAAGAGATTCAACATAAAAACGAAAAAGAAACAGGAAGTAATATACCTTCGCTTTGGGGGCCAGTCGGGCCATCAGAGCAGCTGCGGCATTACCTGCATTATTTTCCTCGATGAAACTGATTGTTGAGTTAATCACGAGCAGAGTGATAATACCAACAAAGTCTTGCCAATCCGGAGGCTTTTCCTGCAAAAGGAAAAGCACAAATAATAGGACAGGATTTCAGGAAACTGAACAATGAGGCACAAATGATGCAACTCAAAAGCAACAACTCACTCCTCCGTTTGCAAGAGCAATGGCCATAATTGCAGCAGCTTCCATGACCCATGACAGAGGATTCCACATAAAACCCAGAAACTTCAAGAACTTGCTCTCCTGATACTCATCGCAAAGTACAAAAATTTAAGGGAAAAAAACAGGAGGGAAATCACCAGACAACGAGAACAACTAGGTATGATGTAGCAACAGATCATGTCAATGCCTTTTTCTCTTCAAGTTTATTGTGGCCAAAAATGGCAAGCCTCTCCGCGGCTGCCTGAGTAGTGAGACCTTCTTTGCTACATCTCAGATTCTCAAACACTTCCTCAATGGGTATATTTTCCTGCAAAGAACAAAATCTTCAGACCCCCCAAAAGAAAAAACAAAACGCCACGGACACGACCCCATATGCGAAGAGAAAATAACATCAGCAAAGCGAGCTACAACAAAAGCCTGAACTTTTTGGCCTTAGATCCAGTACCAAATCCACAGTTTCCTTCAGCACTGCCTCCAACACTTCAGGCTGCTCCGCCATCTTTCTCGAGCTCTTTCTTCTTCCTCTTCGAAAAGGTCCTCGAAAGAAGGAAAAACCAAACTAAAGACCGAGACCCATCAAGAGATGAGGGGAAGACTAGCCAAAATGCTCCCCAAGAACTTCAACCCGGGAGAGGAACCGAGCAGAAATCCAGAGGATGGAACTCGTTCTGGGCGTGAAGAAGGGGGGTTGGAGAAGGAATGAGGACGGCCCACCAACACCAAACCAACTCTGCAAGAGAGAGAGAGAGAGAGAGAGAGAGAGACAGGAGGAGGAGAGGAAGTGAAACCGCTGGGAGCAGAGTGGCAAAAGTAACAGTCGCACTAGTCCAGAAATGGGCCCATTTGGTTCTGACATTGGGAGAATGCATTTCGAGAATGCAAATACCTTTGATTTAAAGGAATTTTTTGAAATATAAATAATATTTAATAAGTATTTTTTAAAATCAATTTTAGTTAAAAAAAAATTTGTAAATATTTATAAAAAAAGCTCCGGTGGAGCTTAACTATCGGCCATTACCGCCGGCCAGATCTGGTCACCGGCTAACCACCGACGGCCAGATCTGGTCGCCGGCCACCGCCACCTGGGGTCGCCAAACCTTGGGCGTCGTCGGGGTCGCGCGACCCCAAGCGGTCGTCGCCAGGATCACGCGACCCCCAGGCAGTGGTCACCGGGGTCGGGCTAGCCCTCAGGCAGCAGTCGCCAGCCGCCAGACCTCAGTCTGGGGAAGATGAACAGTCGCGATGAACAGTGCAAGTTGTATTCCGAAAATGCAACTTTCCAAAACACCTCCACCTTTACATTGGCCAAAAGTCCCTTGGAGAGCATTCCAAATGCAATTGCATCTCCCCAAAGTGAGTAAAAAAAGTTGTCAAACATCATTTACATTTGGCCAAAGACTTTAGAGCCAAGGAGCTTTAAATGTTAAACCAAATGGGCCAAATATTCCCTGTTTCTCCAAATGTTGAACCAAAATGGGGCCAAATACTCTCCTCCGTTTCCTCCTCTCCTGTACTTTCCTGGCCTAATTCTAAAAAAAAGAATCAACTTTAGGTCGAGAGACAATTCTGGCCAGAATTTTTTTTATCCCGCAAAAAAAGCATTAACTTTAGGTCGAGTGATAATTATGGCCCCAACTTTTTTTTATCTCGTTAAAAAACACCAATTTTCACTTAAATCCCAAATCTAACCCCCCATTGACTTAGAACCGTTGATTATCCAACTTGATTATTCCACCTTAGCAATAAATCCACGTGGCTTGCTGACTGGATTTAAAATACTATTCATTATCTTATTCTCTGAGCCACAACTTGAAAAATAACGATGAAACTGTTCGTATCATTCACTTCACCAGCAAGTCAAAAATATCTTAAGATTGAATCTCTCTGACTAGACAATTTAAAACTGTAGACCATTGCCTGTCGACAGACGTCATGGACAAGATTCGCCAAGCTCACCACCATAACCTTTTTTCTCAAATAAGGGTGACTTCAGACAAAAAGTCAACGAGGGGTCTAGATTTGGGATTATGGTGACGGTGAAATTCGATATTTTTTATTAAACAAAAAAAAGTTTGGGCCAGAATTGTCACTCGACCTAAAATTGATGCTTTTTTGCGGGACAAAAAAAAGTTCAAACCAGAATTGTCCCTCAACCTAAAGTTGATGTTTTTTTTTTTTAAATTAGACCTATTTTCCTCCGTCCAGGCGAATTGACCAAACAACCCCTCCAATGTAATCTTACATCTAAAGATTCTAAACGACTTATTAGTTTTTACCGTTACGTAATAATTCTTTTAATGCAATTTACTGTGCATTGTATTGATAATACATCGTCGGGAAATTTTTTTTTTTCTTTTGGAGTGAGTCATCCTGGTTCCTTTCCAAGGTAAGTAATTCAAAGATTGCACGAGCTCATTACATTGGTAATTCTTTTATCTAAACTTTTAATTCGGCCGGTCCATACATATATCGAGTAAGACACCACACATAGAATTATTTCGAATGGGGGACGTCGTTTTTCAACCAATAAAAAGCCTTACATTCATTGCTATGGTCAAGAAAAACTTCTTTTTCTTGCATTCGTCTTGCTCCTCGTGTATTACATGAGCTGTTATTTCTAGGTTTCTCTTCTTTGCAAAACTTCGTACTTTGGAAATTATTTCCATTAATCGAAGTGAGAATTAATAAAAACACGTCTATTCCCATAAAAACCTACGGTGATGGGTCTCCAACCCCTTCTTCACGCCTTGTAGCATAGATGGTTTTAACGATACGCGCCTTTGACCACTTTTCGATTTTGATCGCGATGAAAACTTTCACGCACCTACACGGCCCTTCCGACCCGCTCTATAAAGATTATAGGGCAGATTCGTGCATGCACGCAATGTGAACTGCATAATAGGAAATCAAACAATCATGCCCAATCATCCCGACAACCACATGAATCTCACAGGAAACCCTAATAATTCATGAGCGACCCGATCAATTTAGGTCGCAACGTTCGTGATTGATTCTTGAATGATGTATGCATGCTCTTCGGTGATCTGATGACGAATGGCTTCATGTTAAAGCTTAGGGGACTGGCCGTCGGAGAGATTAATGTTTTGGAGATCTTCGTGAGAGTTCCAAATGGAGAATCTCTAGTACCAACGTTTCAAGACTCCAACAAATGGAATCGCCAAACGAAACACAGAGGACGGCCGTGCAACCATGCTCTCACCTTAACTCCAATGTACTTTCTTGCGGTCGAATATATTTATTTACTTTTTGCACCCAATAAAACGAGGGAAAATGGCGTGAATGGCACTTGAACTTTTGTCCGATGAGCGATGTCGTCTCTATACCCGTTCGACGCGGTCCCTGAACTATTAGTAATGTTCAATGTGGTTCTTACGACAATTTGGGTATAATTTGATGACGTAGATTGTTTTGTGCTGAGTAGGATTTTTAAAAATGATGAGTCGAAATGTTCATCTGTTTTTAACCATCTACTTTAGAAAAGGAAGAAAATAGGACATTGGCATATGCATCATTATCTGTTGACGTGGATTATTGTGTCCTGATTTGAGATGAAGATAATCCATGTGTAATTGTCGACTGTTCTAAATTTGAAGAATTGGAAGTCACATTAGCAAATTCCGTCAACTTTAATTAACATAAAGACGACATTGAACATTTTATTATAGTCCAAGGACTAGATTGAGCATGCACTAACAATTCAGAGACCACATTATACAAATTAAAAGTTCAGGGATGACGTTTCACATTAAGCCAAAGTTTATAGATCATTTATATCATTTTTCCATGAAATGGAGCTAGAGGTTGCCAATTAAATTGATTTGGGACAATGCCTACGGTCGAGCGGAAGCTAAGATAATACAACAAAAAAAATAGATTCAATAGTTCTTATATCAATCAATAAGGGTATAATCGACTACAACTTACATAATTCATGAATGTATATACACACATATATGTATGTATGTATGTATTTGATGTGATCAAACCATTGTGATTATATGCTCTTGTTTATACATCATATCATTGCAAGAAGATCTGACAGAGAATATTATGAAAATATGATGAATCCCCCCCTCTAATTATTTATAAAGATTGATGTCGCATCTGACAATGAAAATGGGCTAAAGAAGAAGAATAAATGCGTTCGAACTTAAGGATCGCTTACATGTGTAAAGGGTCCAACAAAGCAAAGTACAATAATGGGAGTCGGTATCAACGCAGCAGGTTATACGGACTAATTAATCACTTCTAGTGATAATAATTAATAATAATGTAATTTAACAACAATAAATAACTCGATAGACGTTATTATTATATGATCAATTTCAACGAGCAGTGAACCTCCTGTTGACAAGTGACAACTCTCTGGCGATGGCATCCGCGTTGTTCACCGGCTTACCAACAACCGCTGGACTCCTCGTTTTTTTCGAATTAAGAATTTTGTTGAATTATATTGTATTGACCTAATTAAGCTTGGACAACTCATCGCATCAAAAGCAAAATAAATCATTCATAAAGTTAGATCATGTCGGATTCACATTAAACCTTGCCTTTTGGCTATATATGATTGTCTTTTGGGTCACTTTATAAACATACTTAGGATTAGTTTGTTTTACTGATAATAAATTATTTAGAAAATATTTTACTAAAAATAATAATTTGAAATAATTAATCAATTAAAATATATTTATTATCGACAGCAAAATATGTCTGCTTAATTTCACGAACGGTTTAAATATATTTCGTTTATGCATTTTTTTTTTTGTGTAAAATGTAAGTAGTATATAACAGATGATGTACAGTAGCTTAGGGGCATTCCCCAGCATTACAACTAGTACTAATAATTCGAGAATATGGAGGTAGGAAGTCTCCATAAAGTAGCTAAAACAACGTTAGCTTGCGAAGGTTTGATTTTTTGGTATAGCGAAGCTCTACCTCTTACATTTTTCCGTACCTTCGCCAAAATAATCTGAATGTCAGTTGGATTGTTTTGAAACCGCCTATGGTTGCGCTCCATCCAAGTGCAATATACAGTCACTAGGAAAGATACTTCGAGGAGTTTCGCTGCCAAATCTTTAGGAAAATATAAATGATTATTTTTAGGAAAATATTTTCTAAATCGTTCATTTTTCATGAAATAAATGCACCAATAGTATTTTGTCTTCGACGAATGATAGATGAATCATCGAGCCTTTGCTAATTGAAAGAACAGAAAATAAAAAACCCCCATTTTACTTCCCTTCTTTAAAATTTGAAGCCTAATTTCTTTCTCATCCTGCAAAGCAATAAATGGCCATTTTGACTAGAAGCAGCGACTATATTATCGTATGCATAAATAATTAGCTTTTGTTGGTATCTGGTAAAACTTAAATGAGGTTCTAACAGTGAGGGTGGGAATGATAATCATTCTGTTCCAAAAATAAATTTCTGACTAGAAATAGATTTTTATTTCAATTCCCTGGACGAGTTTTTGAACAGATATATGCATTTGATAACAACACAATATTTCTCTTTCTGGTGTAGAAATTCGTTTGATAACGACTCAAAATTTTTCTCTCTTACGTTCTTTTCCATTCATCGACTAGTGTTTTTTAGTGTGGGCGGGCGGCGGGGAGCAATCGGTCGGGGGGGGCGGGCGATAGAGGCAAGGACGAGTGATGAGATAAGTTTTCATTTCTCTTTCTATTCCATAAGTAGAAAAGTAGAAAACTTTTACTTCTCATTTCTATTCCAAAACTTATTTCTGGACTAAAAATTTATTCCAGAAATGGA